TGATCGTTGAACAAAGGCGACCATTGGCCCCAAGTATATATGTGCTGACGAAAGAATTGCGGAACAATGCTGCACGTGACCAATGAGAAAAGGGTTCCGATGAATGACATTCTATTGGATGAATGCGAGTGGCCACAGTGAATAGCTTTGCTCTTGAATCCGATTCCATTTTCAAGTTCTGTCTTTGTTTTACACCCTGACAGCCTCGAATTCTGTTTTCACTTTGATAGAGCCAGCTTCTCATCTTTTGCTGGGTGAAACTCACAGTAGCGGGCGGAGTGAGATTCAAACTCGCTCAGTGTATCGGCAGAGGAAGAAACCAAGGGCTATGTGAGTTACCAGTGTTGCATTCAGGTAACAGAGAGATGATCACCAACCAAAGCAACTATCTCCGCAGGGCAAGACCATGGTGAGCGGCTCCAAACGGAGGGAGTGACTTGGCGAGTTGGAGAGACTGATCGACTTGTTTGATGGCGCTAGATCAGGCTTGATGGGGCCATTCAGTTTTTGGGGATGATGCGGATGATTAACAAGATATACATTTTGCTTGAGCCCTTCAGCACGATGTCCGTGAACGCTCTCGTCTGGAAGAAGTGCTTCAAAAGCTCCACCAAGTGAGGTTGGCAGACCGTACACTGAGTTACAGCCAGGGCTGCCTTTTGTTGTACCCTGTGTGCAGTTCCCTGAATCTCCAATACACGCGACTATATGGATTCGTGATATTCTGGACCAAAGACCCAAAAGTGAGCCACCAATCCCCAGTCCTGACCCCCACAAATGCATGGCGGGCCTCGAACCCTCGTGGAACAAACACCATGAGGTGCTGGGCGGCGCGGGATGCCTTCTTCGCCTGCCTGGACCAGGGAGATGGACAGATGAGCCCCGAGGTGGGACAGCGGAACATGTGCTGTTGGCCCACATGGCAGTGATGTGCAGGGTCCGGGTTCTGGCAGAGTGCCGAATGGAAGCCAGACACATGGACTTACAGCGAGTTCTTTGTTTTGGAGTGCCGATGTAGGCTGAGAAGCGATGCTCAGAAGAATGGCAACAGTTTCAGGCAAAGGACCGAAAGAGTGAGGGTGGCGACGGTGACTCTACGGGACCGGGAGATGGTGCACTCTCAGCTAGGTGGCAAAGCGGCTGCTATGTATGAGATATAGTTAATATATTTATTTATACAGCAATATATGATCTATATATATATATGTGCCCGGCTGAAAAGCGCTGCTAGGGTCAAGAGGTGGGTATACAGTGTAGCGCATATATATATATGATGTAGTTTTGGCAACAGTGGGAGTCTTAGAGCAGGACTCCAGATTTTCTTGGACAGCTGATCGAACTCGGATCTTTCGAGCATTGGTGCAAGGTGAAATGATCCGAACTTGAGTTGCAAAGACGGAAGTATTCAGAAGAACAGGACCAAACTTAGCTGCGGAATGGGACTTAAAGAAGTCCCCAAGTAAGGAACATGCAACACAAGGAAGATAATCGATCTATATTGCAACTACTATCATCACATGCAGATGTTCGTCAATTTAAGCTCAAGGCGCTCAAGTAGCTCCTCCCACTTTCAATAGCTGACCATCGGCGCCTCCGGCCAGAAGCGCTGCCTGCCTTCTTGGGTGAAGCACTTCATCATGCAGCGGCCGCTTGCTTGACCAACGCGAGCAGTGACGCACGGCAGGGCACGGCACGGCTTGGCAGGGCACGATGAGCGGGGGACAAGGACTGAGCATCAGACAGTCTTTTTTGGATCTAAGACTCCCTAGTGTAGAAAAGTGATTGAGCGCATCTACTGTACCCTACAAGCCAAGGGTTCAGCAGGGCTTCTCTATTCTGGAGAAGGGATTACTAGGCTTTCCGTCCTATCATTCCCTCGTTGAATGCAGGTAGACACTATTATGCTTCGACCATTTCCCACGCCTGGAGTCAAAACATGTTCACTGGTGCTAGGTGGTAATTCCAAAAGAAAAGTGGATGTCTGGTCAGTTCGGGGTAAGGCATTGCATTAAACGGGCTTTGCGAGGAGCGGTTACCCTAGAAGTGCGTCAAGTACCCGTGTATACCTTTCCTGTGATGGTCCAATCTTGGGATCAACTGTCCTGTTGGACCATTTCACTCAGGACATGAAGACATTCTTGTTGACCCCCCATGTCAATGACCCGGGCGTAAAGCACAAAAACCATCTCAGGAGAAACAACCAAATCCGGTTCCAGTGTGCCGCTGGTTCACGCGGTCGGTCGAACCATTCCAGGTCGCTTGGCCAACCTCCGCCACCACAGTGAGGTTTCAGCGCACGCTGGGGCTTAGCACCGAAATAGATTGCTGGTGGCGATAGAACAGGTCTCTGTGGTGTATAGACTGGTCTCTTGAACTTCATGTAATCTAAGACAGTTGTTCCCATGCTATGTCAAAAGTGGAAGTTAGCTGGTTGATGAGAGCCATCCCAAGCTGACAAGGTATCCCCAATCTCAAGGATGGTTGCACTGCTAGCTAGCAAAGCTGGCCAGTGGCCAGCTGTTGTGGAAGGTATCCTCACCCCATGCCTAGCCCAATTCAAAGCAAGCTCCTTGAACAAGGAAATGGGTCAAAGCCCCAGCACCCTACTTGACCCCCGAAGATTGCATGCGTTTGGACGTTCAGGCTTTGACCAACACTCCCAGTCCAAGCCGCAGCACGTGAAGCCGCCTTCCAAGCGCTGCCAGAGACCTGGAATTCGTCCGAGAGCGCTTCCAGCGCGGCTGTACATAGCGTGTGTGTTTCATCGAGAGCGACCGGGGTTCGCCGGTTCTGTGTGATTCGATGGAGAGAAATTGGGACTTCTCGCTGCCTGTTGGGGTCGAGTCCCTGGCAAGACTTCCACAAGACTTCCTGTGATTGTCCTCGGTCCAGACTGCATCGAAGTGGAACATAGTCGATCTTTTGGCATCGTTTCCTCCAAATGGTATTGTTTCCACATAGGGAGACCTCCCAAAGACGGATCTGAAGAGAAACATGGGGCTATCTAGTGAGTGGCTAGCTGAAGGGGCTATCTAGTTTGAAACAGAAGCTGATTTATCCACAAAATCATGGATGGATTCATCCTGAATTCATCCACCACTTTTGGACTTGACTCCTGCATCAGATGATACCCAGAGTCACCCCTTGCCTCCCCTCGTCTTTGTTTCTGGCGCCGTGCGTCCGGAGCTTGTGCGGGCCCAAGTGAACTCATGCGCATGCGGACAGAGGATTAGGACCGCATGAGGATCTGAATATTGGTACATTCTTTGGCAGGATGCCAAAGGCCCAGAAGGTGAGGGCCGGTGAGGGGCCAGTGGTTGAAGGCCCGAAGCTCTCGGAATCCCAAAGCCTATGATTTGTTTATGATTTCGACCGCCAACGACAACGATAAGAACTCACTGCCAAGATCCATGGAGCCTTGAGTGAGTGCTGCTATGCATTTCCGCAGATTCAGGGTTGTAGGGCTGTTGGTTGTATTCTGCTGCTTTTGGTTTCTTTCTTTCTTTAAGTTGGCAGCGCAGAGGTTGTACTGTGATGAATTGATGATGAAAGCCATGGCACCATCATGGCACCTGGCCAACTAGGGGGACCTTGTCCTTTAAGCTACCAGTCAGATCAGTAGCTTCCAGGGCCTTTTTGAAGCATGCCGCTTTGAGCCAGCGACTGGCCGCGTGGCGAGAGGACGGACATGTCGTGTATCAACCCCCCCATTGGAATTGTAAAGCGCCCCAATTGGAAGGTTGATGAATCAAACCCAGGCCCGTATTGATCATGTAGCGCGAGAGGTAGAAGAGGTTTTTCAAGGTCTCTTCATCCTCCCAGCGCTTTTGGACGAGGGTTTTTGCGTCCTTCCACTGTGGACTCTCATGGTCGCACTCAGTGACCTCTTCATAGTGAGGGGCTTCTTCATCAAGAGTCATTTCACTGATGATCTTCATGATGATCTTCAGATTCTTCATAGTGAGGGCCTTTTCATTATAATCTTTTCATTTGCTTTCACTCCTTGGAGCAGCTCGCTCCAAGCTCGCAAGTCCGACCCGTCACCGTATGTTTTTCGGTGCGTGCATGCCACAGAATCGAAAAGGGGAAGGGGCTTTCCCCAAGCGGAACGGGCACTCCAGGTGCACTCCAGCTGGGCGGTCAGTGGGTTTCTTGACCTGAGCAATGCAGCTTTTTGCAGGAGGTGTTGTAGGTGTGCTGCCAGGCTTCAGAGAAGGGTATCATGGCCATTCATGGCCAACCCCACTTCAACCTTCGAAGTATGGTCGACCTCCTGAACGAACATGTGTTGATGTCAGAGTTTGGCAGAAGCTTGACAAGCAGATGCGATTTGATGGGAACTCCCTTCAGACCCTTCCATCAATCATCCCTTTTTATGAGCATATTTTGATATGAACATATAGATCTTATAACTTTTTACTTTTGATCATTTTTGCTTACAGTACTCAGCTGTTGGGTCCTGAACGCGCCCCATCTCCCAGGAGGATCGTCCGGGGATGACATGGCCCCACACTTGGAGTCAGGTCCGAGTTAGGTCGAAGTACTGACATGTGCTTTTTTGGGTTCCGAAAAAGAGAAGAGCGTCTGAAAGGAAAGCTGATTTCTGATTCATCTTGGCGATGCACTTGGGTCCTCTTCGATCCATTTGGCACGTTTTCTTTTCGTCGGGCGAAGGTCGTAGAGGGCTTCCATGTTGAGCGATGTGGTGTAGCGATCCAAGCAAGCAATCTCGAACATGATTCATGAGAAGGTCTGATTTGAGGCCGCGCCTCGAGAAGGTCTTATTCCATATTTTTCTGAACATCAAAGACCAACTTCTCAAGAGAAAGCATGTCCTTGCAGACTGGTGAGGCATACTGCTAGGCATTTGGCCTTCCTGATCATCCCAACCAAGGGCGTGAGGGTCTTCCTTTCTTGTTTTCTTTGCAAGCCACAAGGTTCGCTCTCCCAGAGGCCGGGCTTTTCGGGTGTCTCAAAACCGGGCCGAAGAACATGCAGACGCAATTGATATTCTCCAAAAAGCACGTGTGGGTCATGTGGCTCGGACGTGCCTATAGGAAAGTGCAATATGAGAAGAGAGGACCATTCAAGCAAGGTCAGCCAGGTTTTGAAGTCTGAACATGGCTTACTTTGGGTATTTTATTGTAAAAAATGGATACCTCTCCTTGCTACAGCATGTGCATATATATATATATCATTTGATCCACACCTTCCTTACCTTCTACTTGCAACGGTCATTCGATTCACCACTGATCCCACCGTTCTCAGATGGGATTCCTCCCACCAGACCAGCCGTTTCCAGCTCAACGGGCGCTGTTTCCAGCGCCGTCGTCCCCCCCACCGGCGCCGCTCGCGCCGCTGGGGGGTGTGCGCGGTTAGGCCACGTGATGTCCAGGCGTGGTGCCAACGGTCCCTGTAATCGGTTGGTTTTTTGGATGAAAGGCAGGTCCCCATTCCGGGATGGGAGGTTGGATACTCAACTGCAGGTTGAGCAAGGTTCTATGAAAAAGGTGCTTTGCCTCCCTTCTCTTGGATGAACTCCGAGCAAGGCATGCGCCATTTGGTTAGGCTGTGTGTTGCTCTAACCCCCACATCGCTGCTTCGACTCAGGCGTGAGTCGATGGAGTCGGAGGTGGCCTTTACCTCCAAGGCAGTGCTGCAGGGAGCGCAGGCTGGAGCCGACGCAGCTGGGTTTGGGGGCCAGGCGGTTGGCGAGGAGGCAGACAGGGCTTCTGCTTATGTTAAATGACCAGCTCCGCTTGAAAGGAACGGGGATGAACATCGATCGGGTGGCTTTGGAAAGACATCTCTTGGAAGATAGAGGGCTTTGATTCAGCCAGTATTTTGATGTATTTTTGTGGAACTACAATATTATTTGCTGTATATTATATATATATAGTATCCTTCTGTACGAAGTACGAAGCGCCATGGGCAAGTTCCAGCATTCAGAAGCCTCGGAGCGTCGTCCGCTGTCGGGTTGACAGAATGAAGGTTGATGACTTCCTACGCGGCTGATTGATCAGCGCGTATGAGGTGTCAGTAGCACACAGTGTCATTGTTTGTCTTGTGGTGGCCTATGGTGGCAGGGATGCTGTCATGTCTTCTGGGTGTCAAACATCAAACGGTCGCCCCCTGCCAGCCCAAAAACCCTCCACACCTGTCACCTGCCGTCCCAATTCGTCTGTAGGCCGAATTGACCAAGAGCGTGGAGTCCGCAAGGGCTCACATGGATGCCTTGCATGATCAGCTTTTGCTCCTGGAGTCCAAGCCCCTTCGGCACGAGAGATCGGGGAGATGGGCGCTCAGCCCGAGCCCCGGCTGAGCCCGAACCCCAAAAACAGACAGCCTCTTTTCAGGCACCCAGGTGCAGTCTTCTGCTAGTGCCCTGTAAGTGTTGATGTCTTTTGGAAGGATCAGCCTGGATCAACACCTACAGCGTCCGCGGAGCACTGTTGGGTGGGAATTTTTCTCGTCATGTCCGAATGAGGAACAGCAGTTAGGGGAAAGCAGCCAAACATTGACCACAGATTTGTGTAGACAGGACTTTGTGTGGACTAGCATCTTTTGTTTTCCTTTATTACGGGGGAGGACACTATCAGCTTGGTGTCGGGTGGCCGCGGACGATCGGATGTAGGTTTGGATACAAACACAGGGACCAGATTACCAGATGGTTGTTTGTCTTTTATCGATTGCTCAATGTCAGGCCGGCCTATGCTTTTACTAAAGTGAGTGTAAACGGATCTTGATACAAGCACGGTCGACTACGACATCAATTCTCCAGGAAAGGTCAAAGCTCCTTTTGACTTCTCAGCTGCAGAAACATCATGAATCATCACTCCCCAGATTCTGCATCACCTGATGCTTCAGCCCCTGATCCCCGATCAACGCCGGAAGAAGGGATCTCCTTCTGCGGGGAACTTCCTCACCCGAACGAAGGCACCCAGTCTCACCTCTCAATTAGACCAGCATAGACCCCAAACAGTTCAGGGGCGCGCGGCCAGTCAGTGTGGCCAGCTCTTATTTTTTCTAAGATATAACCCCAACAGTAAACTGTCTGGGGAAAAAAGGAGACCTCTTTGGTCCGCTCGCGATGAAGTGGGTGGACTGAGAGGTCTCCGTCGTTTCCAACGAACAATTTGGCTTCACCGAGGCAAAAGAGGCTCTTGGGCGAGATTGCCACCGCTCACGAGGAGGACAGAGCCCCCTGGGGTGCTTCTTTTTTTTGGGGGGAGGATGCCCGAGCGGTTCGCATGGTGGTTGCATCGAGTTCCACTCATGGGCTTCGGGAACTTGGGGTCTTCCATGTTTGATCTATATATGTTCAGGTTTTTTGTTCCTTGATTCCTGTCATGAGAACATACAGGTGCCATACTCCGGGCGTTTGTGACCAGACTACAGTGAGGGCAAGATTCAAAGTCACGATTTGTTGCTTGGCTTCAGAACTAGCTATGATTATTTGAGTTCATGGTTCAACCCAGATGGTTTGGTTTTTCAGGGTCTGTGACACTGATGGGAAGCCTTTCTCGTGAAGTGCTTGAGATGAGCCGCCAGGCACTGCAAGATGTGACCGGGACAAGTTCAGCAGAGGTATCTTGGTCTGAAGTTTCCTCATTGTTGAGCATGCTTGTTGTCAAGGTTTTCCCCGCACATGACCATTCTGAAATGGGAGGGAAGATGAGCCGTAGGGTATGCCGTATGCCAGGAGCTTGATCCGATCTTTGGGCGGCTTCCGTTCCGCCTCCGACGAGTGAACAGCCGCCCTCTTTGGAACGAGCGGCACAGTGTGACCTGTAGTCTGGCCGTTTACCCCACAGTCCTACTGCCACAGGCCCTGATGCCTGCTCCGCATAACCCACATCTGCAGGTCGCAATGGCCACCCTCCTGGGGTCTCCTCGCGCGCGGACGAGAAAAACACACGATTTGATCTGTTTTGGGACTGACAGCTAACCTTCACAGGTCTGTGGGGCTTTCGCGTAGTGCGGTCAATAGTGGCATTTCCAGGAGCTTGACCTTGCCAAAGATTCCTCAGCGCTGCTGTTTTCGCTGGTTTGGGAGTTGGACACAGCCAAAAGTGTGTAAATAGCAGTGAAAGAAATAAAGACACATTTATCTCATTATGTCAAAGTGGAAGCACCAGACCTTCTAGTTGAACAGCTGGGGATTTGGTTCAACATATTATGTCAATTTGTTCTGGTCACTTGTTTTCGCTCTGTTTTGGTCGTGCGGCTTGTCTGACCGACCTTGCCCAGCTCTCAGCCGGACCATCAGATTGGGGTCTCCCACGCCATCGCCGTTTCCCCCGCTTCGCCGTTAGGTGTCGACCGGGGTCGCCGGATGACTCGGTAGAGTTGAATCAATAACACCGTTTGCCTCACCAACCGTGACAGGTGTTGGGGTGTTTTCGGCCACCCTGTCAGGTTTGAATTGGGGGGTTTTCCTTTTGCCTGCGGTGTCAGGCGAAAGGCGGCGGCGTGATGAACTTCTTCAATCCCTCCAGTCTTCTTTCACCAAGCCCGAAGCAGCTCCTCCGTCAGCAGTCTTCCGAAGCGGCTGAACCGTGGTAACGGAGACTGTCAAAGGAGCCGTACGAACGGAGCGATCGGACGCTACCAGTAACGCCTGGCATTACTACTAGTAACAAGAAGCTACTAGGAACAAAGCAAGGACGCTACTAGGAGCTCCGTTTGTTCCCTTTTTACCTGCAGAGCTGCATTGTTTTGGAGCAATCGGTTGAGCTGCAACCATGCAAGCGGATTGTCCACTCTGAACACGAAATCCTCCTTCAACCTCAGCTTGCGACTGAGGGACAAGAGCAGACGGCGATCAGCTGCCATCACTAAAGAGAGTGACCTTCAGCAGATCCGAGACAGGCCAGATTTGAGACCTACAGCATTTCACAATTCAAATTTTGTGGGTTGACATCAGGATGCTATCTAGATACATAATCCAGTGCTTTTTGGGAATGTTGTGCCCCAACGTGTCCGGAGAACTTGTTGGCACTCTACTTGCGGGGTCTTGTGCAGATAGGTTTGAACCAATTCCATCAATTCCTACAAGGTGCAGCTTTGCTTTGCTGTGCTCCTGGCATTTAAATTCTTTGTCTGCAAAGAGGAGCGGTTTCTTTGTGTGTCCTCGGGATTTGCACAACATGTCTCAAGCGTGAATTTCACTGTTGGACAATGTCACCTTGCCCTCTGCAACCAACAGATCAAGCACCCAGATGGTGACCGTCTTCCAACCTGACCGTGACCGACAGTCGACCATCTCCCTCCACGCCGCCAGCGCCAGCGACGAGGCTTCGGGAGTACAATGAGAGTGCCTCGCGGATCTTGGGCGGACGCATGGAGATGAACTGCGACAAAGGCGCATATTGCCGACCGTAACCGGCGCTTTGAGCTTTTGCAGCGGCAGCGAGGGGCCGAGTCGTTGTGGCAGAGGTTCAACGAAAGCAGCGTTGTCGTAAAAACACTCTATGCAGGGTGAGAGGTGGCGGGGCAGCAGGTGCATCGTTGGATAAAAACTGGTAGTTATACAGTATTCAGTATATCTCATGTTCCTATAACGACATTCTTAAACTGGCAGTGTGTTGTTGATCTTCGTTCAATCAAAGCCACGGTCCGCCATTCGAGGCGTGTCGGTCAAGTGCATCGTCTCGTCCCCCCTCTTCGATGGGATTGCTGCCGCCTGGTCGCATGAAGCAAGGGTAGAAGACCCAACGGTGAAACAACTGATAGCAAGTTTCTGATAGTAATTACGTTAGAAATGTTGAGGATGTTAGATCAATTCACGTCGGTGAGCCACGGAGAATCCCGAAATGAGGCATTTCTCATCATGTTCAACTCCTTCGTGGTTGGATGGGAGACGGAGTGGTTTGTCTACAACACAGAGTCGGATCCGACGATCGAGGCTGGAGATGTGACCTGATCGCCGTCGCCACAGCAAACCGTCAAATCATGGCCCCAATCGTCCGGAGAGTCCGCTCCAAACCATGTTTGGACCACCCGGGAGTCCTTAAAAGAATCCGCGGATCGCGCTCGTCCCGGAGTCCGGAGGACCTTTTTCAATGACCAAACAACTGGTGGTTTCGCACTAGAATCATTTCAGGGAGTGTATCCCAAGATTCTTGTTCGAACAAAAGGATGACGGACGTCTTAATGGTGGCGAATCATGCCGGACGCAAGACGACCCAGCCGACGGGATTGACTCCAAGCAACGGAACTTCCTTTGCCCACCGGAGCCCTGTTGGGAGCTCTACTATTGGTGCATTAGCCTCCCTCCAAGTCACATAGCAAGCCACAGGCAAGATGAAATACTTTTTTCCTCTACAAAGTTGTCACAGCATGTCAGGAGCTGATGTAAGGACGGTCAACTGCCTCGTGCAAAACCACCTATGTGGCTCCACACGTGATTTAACTCAATCATTTTGTGCCAGGCCTTGTCCTCCTTTTGCAACTGGGTCTTCTTCGTGGAGCTGGTTCTACGCTTAGCCGCCTTTCGCATGGACTTCTTCTGCAACCGTGAGCGGAGGAACTGGAACATCTTCGCCGCTTGGACCTGGCCAAACACGTGCGACGGTGCCACGGTGACGACCGGTGGACGACCGGTGACCGGTGGACCAACCGGCCACGTCAGCGTACTCGTTGGGGTCCGGACGGGGCTGTGGAAGACCGGCCGCAGGTCGGTCACCGACCGGCGTCTCGGTGTCGGAGACGGCGTCTGGGTGCATCGGATCCATTTTGGTTCGAGAAGCGAATTAGAGAACATGACAAATGACATGGTTTTAATATGTTTCTTTTCTCGAAAGAATGCATCGGACTTGGGGTACCAGCACAAGTATGCGCAAGGTGACCTTCGATGATCAGAACGGGGACCAGGGATGAACTCAAATCGGGGCAAGGACAGTGGTGGACTTGTGGATGCCCTCTGACAACAACATGAAGGGGCGTGGCTAAAAACCACGGACTTGGGCACGCATTTGATATATATATATATATTATATACATATATGACGTTATACATACATATTACTAGCCCGCCGACCTCCGTTTTGAGTGGTACCATATATTACATACATAAGCTAGCCTCCCCCCCTGGAACCTTACTTTAAGAACTTATATCAGCTGTCAGCAGAGGAAAAACTTACAGAGATAGTCTACGTACAAACCAGCACTTGTGAGTGTATATGTTTCTAAACATGTTTCTGAAGGACCAATATGACTATTAAACACTATTTGACAAGGACGTTTCTTGTGTAAAGTGCTCTTGCTTGGACCAGGAATTGCACATCATTTTTTATCGATAAGTCGGTAAGTAAGGCTTGTATTCAATGACAAACGGTGTTTAGGGCAACTTTTTGCCTGCCCAAGTTCAACCATAGAGCACTATATAAGTTCCCCTGACATCCCTTGACAGCTCAATTTGCATCACCAATAGGGTGGAATAATGTTCCACAAAAGGCATTTGGCACTTATGGAGGTGTCTTCCATGAAAGACAATTCAATTTTATAGGGAGGAAGACCCTTTGCAGAGGAAACTTGTTATTCAAGAAACATATTAAAAACAGTTCCAGTGAAAAAGGTTTTGTAAAGGAGGCTATGCAGGGTGAAGTCCTTATATAACGAATTAGAAGTAATAAAGGATGACATTCCTCAAGAGAAACAGTTCATGAGCAACGAGGGCGTGATAGACGCATAGATGTGCTAATAATAGAAACTGGTCCGGTCAAGAGATCATCATTATTAGCACGGCATGTCAATGAAACAACTTTGGAAAGGAAAACCTAGGTGTACTCCAATCCCTCTCTTTTCTTAACCAATAGACACTCTTATAGAGGAGTTCGTTTCTCAAAGGGGTGCTTTGCATGAGAAAGGCGGGACAATTGTAACGAGACATGAGGCATTGTGATTTGCACGAGAAAGGAAAGTCAATTGTAATAAGTACTGAGGCATTGTTTGGATTCCTTATCTTTCACTGCTATCTAGAAGTGCTTGAAGCTTCTTGCACAGTCCTTTTCTCTCAGTAGATTCAATGTGACAATCAGCTGGAAGATTCTAGAAGTGACAGCTGGCATGATAACAAAATATGATATTAATATTAAACACTTTTAAGTGATAAAGTGGCAGATCAGACTCTCGAATATGGCTACTGCGCTGCCCGACATAGTAGATGAGGGACATCAATATGTGGACACATTACCAAAAACGAATGGCAAGTTTGCAAGTCCATGGTACTTTGAAGTTTTGAAATTTTCCAAAGATATCCAAAGATCTATTTTAAAGACACAGTGGCTGCCCACCAAACCTTCGCAAAAAGAACTTGACTCGATTTGCTGGTTTGTGCAAAAGCCTCAACTTTCCAAGGCCAACGTGTATAAAAAGATATTCAATCATTTAGGGTAGACAGGGTCGGTGATGAGGGATTATTTGGGAAGCTTCAAGTCAACGTCTCCCCGATGTTTGAATCAGGCGGTGGGAGGTGGGGGATCAGTTGTCTAGAAGTTGTGCAAGTTCAGTTGAGAGCTGCCCGCAATCTCTGTGAGTCCTGGATTGACTGGTGGGACGAGATCCAGGAGCTACCTATTGAAGCATCGCGCCCGGAACCTATGCTGGAGGGGCTTGCCTAGACCTGGTAATGCCTCCCTATGCTACGCTGATCCATGTGCGTTGACCCAGCACTATCTCCGTCTCCCAGAGGATGGCCGCCCCCCTTTTCGTCGACTTGTTTGCGATGCTCACCATGAGGCCTGTGCCGCGTGCGATGCCATTGGTTGGCCTGCTTTGCAATGTTTGGGCTGGGAGCTTGGCGAGCTTGCGAAACGGCTTAGCTAGATCCATTGCAGCGGACGGTCCGGGGGTTTTTGAAAAAGTCTCTTGGCAATTGTGTCGAATTCTCAGCTTCCAGTTGTGGTTTTGCTACACCATTCGTTTACTCATGTCATGCAGCATTTCTCAAGCTTTCTGTTGCTATTCGCCCTGTGTTGCCCATCTGGATCTCATGGCGGCTGTTCCGAAGCAGCTTGGCACCCCAGAAGACACGTTCACGGCCCTGGCTCTTCAATTCAACTTTGATCAGCACATCAAGGACAAGATTATCGAGCTGGGGATCCGCACCTTGGCTGAATTCCGCCACTATGCCCGTAATGAAGATGAAGTCAAGCGCCTATTCATTGATACCATCACGGGCCCCAGCTATGAAGAGATGCAAGGACGCCTCCAGTCTGCTCGTTTGCGCTTTGCTTGGACTGCGTGCAAGGCCCTGCTGGACTCAGAGCATGCGGCTTTGCACTGGGGCTTCCACCTTGGGCGTGATCGTTAGCGCTGTGATGAGGGAGCGCGACGCTCTGTGGTTGGCAGGGGCTTTGCCGGGACCTAGCCTCCCTACGGGCCCGGCGTCAAGTGGAGCCACATCGGCCCCGACCTCGCATGCCGCTGCTGGGCAAGTCGGATCCGTGGTTTTCAGCCTCCGTGAAGGGCCGCACCAAGAAGAATTGCCAGCGCGGTGCTCACCGCTGCGGAGTTGTCTTGCAGTCCGGGCGTGTTTGCGGATCGTTCCAGCATTCGCCCAACAACTGCCCAAAGGCTGCTTGAAAAGAGGACCGCTCCTCTGGCGGGGGGGGGGCGAGGCCAACCTTTGGACAATCCTGTGTTCAATGACTTTCGTTCCTTTCTGGATGAATTGGAGTCCGTTGACATACACAAGTCCAAAGAGTCACAACGTCCTACCCTCCTTGACATCTTCCCCCCTGTCCAAGGCCTTCCTGTGGTGCCAATGCGGAGATCATCACGCCGATCGACATCGAGATTGACCAGGACTTGGACGTGTCGCGTCCATCGGTTCGTAAGGCTATCCGGGAGGTCCTTCCGAAAGTTGCCACTATTGCAGGGGCTATGAGCTGTGCTACAAAATCTCGGGCTCGTGAGAGCGCCCTGGCCCTCCCCCCCTGCGGTCTGAAGAATTCCCACGGGGCCTCGTGGGGTTGGACCCTGTGAGCCAAGATCGTGTGGATGCCGACAACTTCTCTAGTGACTTTCTGTTGGCGTTGCAACATTGGGGCAACCACCACAACCTCGCTTGCCTTCGTGAGAATCCCTTGAGGTCTTTGCACTGGTGGGACCCTGTTGAGCAATTTGTGTACTACGAGGGTGAATGGTTCGATTTAGATTGCGATGCATGTGTCTTTGGAGGGGCTCGACGCAAAGCGCAAAAGTTTCGCCACAATGTACCGGAGCTTGCATCCCTGCCTGCTGTCAGGTGCGGACAGGACCATCTTTTGGCTGACCTGCAGTCTCTCCATTTCAAGAATCTTGTATGTGACTGCCCTCATAATGTCCTATGCCATGGTGACATCCTTCGAGCACTGGTCTGGTCTACTTCGCCTACAACTTCCTCGTCTGGACGGCGTCATTCGCAGCCACGGGAGCACCTCCGGCGTGTCTCGCTGGTAGCCGCTGGCATTCGCCCGGCCCGGGCTGTACCACTTCGCTTCTCCCAGGAGATCGTTGTCGCGAGCCTTATGGCCCTCTGCCCGGAGGTCAATTGGGACGGTTTCAAATGGCCCATGCTCAAGGACCTCCTTGTTGACGACTCTCATTTCCAATGGCTCAACTACATGCAGAACCGCCCTGACTGGGACGGCCATTCCTTCGGACCACAATTGGTGGGCCCGTTAGAGCGCACAGCTATTGTCATCAGCGGCCCATCACTCACCATTTGCAGACCTATCAGGCCCTGGTGTCCGATCAGCTACGCACGGGCGCCACATTGCATTCATTGGACTTGACATGCTCCTTATTGGCTGTGATACAACCTTTGTTGCAAGTTTGATCTATGGTTTCTCGGCCGTGGGCTTCTCTCCGCATGTCCCCATCTACAAGGCACAGCCTGCCCACTATGTGCTGCTCGTATTGTTCGTAGCCTCCGTCCCAGTGAACGCGATGAGGCCATTGTCCAAGCAGGTGAGGATGACTAGGCCAAAGGCTTTTGTGGCCCCCTTTGACATGGGCCCAACTTTGTCAAGAGCTGCCTAAATCAACCCTCTGGCAAGCTTCGCGTTATAGATGATGCTGCCGATGGTGGCCAGAGTGCCCTCAGTTCTGATGCAAATAAGCTCGACCTTTGCGCAAGCATCCAGCCTGGCCTACATGTTCAGCTCCTATGGCAAGCCGCATCTTCATCCCCATACAAGAAGGAACTTCTGCAGGCAGGTATCTGGTCAGGCGGTGAAGACCTACCCAATGCTTACCGACATGTCCCCATGCGGCCGGACCACAGTAACATGGCTATCGTGGCCTACTATGACCGCCATACCGGAGCCCCTCGTTTTCGACGGTACTATGGTTCATTGTTTGGGCTGCCTAACGCTGTTTGTTCCTTCAACAGATTCCCTCGGTTCTTTCAGGCAGCCTGTCGCCGCTTGGCCTACTGCATGACCAGTATGTACTTCGATGACCTGACCATCCAGGACTTTGGTATTGTGGGCGGCACCGGTCAAGCTTTTGTCAATGAACTGGCCACCTGCTTCGGTTTGCCTTTCCAAGCAGAAAAACACCAGTCACTGGCCGCCCAATCCGATTTCCTGGGCTTGATTCATGGCGTGGCCGGATGCCACCAAGGTGCCCCAGTAAAGTTTTGGGCCCGTGACCGGTTGGTCACTAAGGTCACCGATATTATGGATGAGGCTGCCCAAACTCGTCGGCTCCCACCAGGACTTGCAGCAAAACTCTTCGGTTGCCTCGGATTCTTGACTACAGGGTGTTTCGGCAAACTTGGCCGATCAGGACTTCACACTATTAAGGAGCGCCAGTACTCCTCTCAAGTCGAGATGTCTGACGAGCTCTACCAGTCCTTTGACCGTATCCGTGCCCTACTCCAGTTGAAACCTGAGCGCGAACTTCCCATCAGCCCAGTGCGGCAGCACCGGTACTTGGCAGCTTCGGATGCTGCGCAAGATTTGCCACGGGAGGGCTCAGCTGGGGTCCTGTTCGTCGATCCTCAAGGCCACCGTCGCGCCTACATTTGTCCTGAGATCTTTGACGTTTGGTCGCACCATGAGGCCAAGATTGCACAACTGGAGTTGCTGACAGTTTATATGGGGCTAGCGTACAATGCTTCGTCTGCCAGAGGAATGCATGGTATTTGGTTCGTCGACAACATTGCAGCCCTTATGTCCCTCATTCGAGGGCGGAGTAACAATGCTCTTTCACACCCACCCCTGCTCATGCTCCTCCAGCTGCCCTACCACATCATCGCCCAGGTCTTTCGGTATGTCTAAGTGCTTTGGATACGTTAGTCCCTTGGATGGAGTGCTCCCACAGGGAGAGTGTCAGATGTCAGATGACACATGCGACGTGGGTCGCTTTTCAAACCAAAGCACTCAGGTACGGACAGTACAGACCTAAATCGATTTGGAGAAAAAGGTAGCAGCAGCTGATGTCAGTTGATTGAGTTTCATCGAATATATTCAATCATTTAAGGTAGGCAGGGTCGGCGATGAGGAATTATTTGGGAAGCTTCAAGTCAACGTCTCCCCGATGTTTGAATGCTCAAGCCAAACTGGGGAGACACCCCTGAGGAGCAGAGTCACTGCTGGACCCTCAGGTTAGATTTTTCTCCCACCCTGCCACACCCTTTTGTTTGCTACCTACATGTCCACCTGGCGCTGGGCTAGCGGGTGGCTGACTCGGCATGGCGCCGGTGGAGTCTTCGTTTACCTGGTATCAGTCAGATCACCTATGGCGCGTGCTGACGGCTTGGGGGCCATTCCATGATCTGTTGGTTATCTCGTCGAAGGGACTACGCTTGTTGAGCTTGGAGTCCCGGGCTGGCTGACAGCCTTGACTGTGACTCGTGCTGTCTGCCGCTGCCGTCCAGTCGGAATTTCTTTCGGCTGACCGCCGCCCAACCATCATGTGTACCTAGGATGAACCTGGTATTGGAGATGGCTGGATTCAGTTTAAATTTAATCATTTTTCCCCAAGCTCTGTCCAGAGCTGTCATCCGTAGTGGCCGTAGGACCGCCCCTGCGGTATCCTCTCGGTCACATTACACGGATGGAGTGCTCCCACAGGGAGAGTGTCAGATGTCAGATGACACATGCGACGTGGGTCGCTTTTCAAACCAAAGCACTCAGGTACAGACAGTACAGACCTAAATCGATTTGGAGAAAAAGGTAGCAGCAGCTGATGTCAGTTGATTGAGTTTTATCGAATATTGTTTTGTTCAGGAATATAGGACAGATCAGTTGGTAGATAAATTTTGTGCTCCAACTTTAGGTACTCTAGAGGAAAGAGTCGCATGGCCGCACCACCAGTACTGGCCGTACCATTCCCTCTGTTTAGTCAGTGAGTTGGGATTCAAGGGACACACCGGACACCTTTTGGAGGGACCGAGAAACGGGTGTGCATTTTTTCGGAAGATCCCCAACCCATTTGGAATGGTATATTTTCATTCTTCCAGGGTCTTTGGGGGTCTCCCTATGCTAATACACACTCATACGGAACATATAAAACATATTATGATGATGTACTTTGGAATGCTAGACCAGACTTGGACGCGTATTGTACGCGTGCACTCCTGGATCTAATATCTAAGATTGGGACTCAAAATCAAATGTTAGATCCAAGGTTGACGCCTCACTGCACCAATATTGCACGAGCTGAACCTTGGATCCATCCAAACATTCCAAAGTGCAAAATTAGAAGAATGAGGGTGAACAAAAGTTATTAGTTAGACGAGAAAGAGAGCTGGGACATCGATAGATGTGGTGGAACCGAAGAGGACCACGCGAATGGTACTGTAGCTACATGGGGGGGGTAGTAGATCCATATGCATATAATGTACTGTATATAAGTATTTTAACACACACACACGTCTTTATTGATTTAAACATATATATATATAGAGAGAGAGAGACAAAGTGGGTACCACAAGTACCATTATGTCTTGGCCACCTATTGGATGTGTCCTTCATCGTAGGAATGATCCGCCAAGTCTGCTGCTGCAATGGCTAGATAGTAAAATCAAGCGGTGCATCCGCGGGAATGATGCTTGCCCTTAGTCCTCCACTTGCATCCAGAACTATAGGAGAGAGGTTGCTTCAATCTGATATCAGGCACCTTCCCCTGGCCCAGGGAGCCTTCCCCCAACTTTCTCCGTGCCCTCTGGAGGCCCAAGAATGCACCGGTTTTGCTCAAGATGCATTTTTTAATTTTCCAGTTCCTCAACGCGCGGACCCTCGTCCGCACCTCGCCCTCAGGACTTCATCCTGGTGGTCTTGGGCATCGTCGATGAGCTGAGCATCGCCAGCGCCGGCACCGTGGGCAGCGTGAAGCGCCCCGGTCGGCTGTTTCAGCGAGCGCGGTCGGACGTGGGTCAAAGCGGGCTCGCCGGTGAGCTCGGGGGGTGAAACCAAATGGTGAGCTCGCGGGGATTCATCTCGAAATACGCAAGGAAGAGGTGAATGACCAGGGGTTCCCAACTTTTGTTAATTTAACAGATCAGTGCAATATGAGTGAAACACGTGAAGTTTGTAGTCGGGGTTGTTTGAGGGCACTTGATACCTTGCCTGATGAATTGGTGAGTCTTCTCCAATCCCAGTTCCTTCTTTACTTACTTAGGAACTAGACACCTGAAGAGGATAGTTTACGTGGGCAAAAAGACCTTCTCACTTCCCACTGAAACAAGTCAGTTTCACGGATGTTCTCAGAAGAAAAAGAAGACAGCGGTTGGTTGCCCTGCCGAGATTCGCCAAAAAATGGGTTTTGGACTCCCTTGACGTGGACCGAAGCCGTTTTCCGCGTCCCTTCCGGCCCGATGCCGCGTCCGAACCCAGGATGCTGAAGATGCTGCGGATCCTTCGCCCCTCGCAGAACGGACGAGTGGCGGATCCGAAGCGACGAGTCCCGTGGTCGAGTAGCTGTTTCACAGAAAAATGGGAGGTCAAACGCAAGCGAGCAGAGGCTTGGGAGAAGCCCAAATCCTAAAAGCTCAATCAGCAGGGTTTCAGAGATTGCTATGCTTTACAAATCTTTAGAATCGGAATATGGAAGGTAGTTGATCAATACAGATCAATGTGACACTACACACCAAAAGAACTTTTCAAGGTTCTCATCCATTCTCCCTTATAGCTGTGATCTTGAGAGATGTATTGAGATGGGCTGGCACTTGTTTCATCCACCCTGTAAGACTTGCCAGGCATCTTCCGGGTCTTCCGCTTCTTTCGGCCGTTTCTTGGAGCAGACGGTGCTCGTCCCGTCGGGACGCGGCTCACCGCGGCGTCGGCTTGAGGTCCATCGTCGACCCAGGTCGCGGCGAACCAGGTCAGCTGACCTAAAGATGTCAGCGCTTTTCAGTTGACGTGTTTCTATTTTTCTTGGGCCCGAACTAAAAGCTGCCCCACAGCATGGAATAGAGGTATAGAGGGTAGCCTCAAACAGGTCTGGACGACAGCCAATCGGTGATACATAGCTCGCCGACACGTGGGCTGAGGTTCAGGGATTTGTTTGAATTGCATGATATCATCAGGATTCATCATGCATCATGCTTCAACACCCCCTGCTCCTTGCTGACATTTGCTGACCACTTCCTTGATGCAACAGATTCTGCTCATGCGTGGGATGAGCGGCAAAGCTGGGGGGTCAGCTGCACGACTGGCCGTCACCTCGGTCGACCGAGCACCGGGGTGGGTCGCACCCCGCTCCGATCCGAGGAGTGAAACGGGAGTCCCAAGTCAAACTCCAGGAGTCTCCCCTTCGAGTCTGATGTCTTTGTCCGTCTGGGTCGCAGGTTCTCAGCCTGAGAGGAGCCACCGGCCGCCCTGGTTGGGGTAGAGATACATGCAGAGCCTTTTTTCTCAACGAATTCCCTCTCCCCACGCCGATGTTGGGTCACCCCCAACTTGGAGCTGATGGTGGTTGGTGGGTGTCCCCAGGTTGGCGCGATTGGCCTTGATGATCATGGACTCCATTCGATCTTTGCTTTGGGCAATGTTTATGTGGCCTGGCAGCTGGATCACTGGGTAAAGGGAATGATATTTCCAACAAGTCCAGTTTTTTTTAATTTTCTTTTAAATAATCTGAGAGGAAGGCAATTCGGTCTGTTTCGAAATTGCCTGAATTTGTGCACCTTCGAAGACACCTCAGAACCTGTTGAAATTTCCAACTCTTGTGGGTTGAACTGTGCGTGTTCCTCCGTGTTTGAGAGGCAGTCTTGTGCTACTTCACCTCCAGGACCTAGGAGATGGCAGCATCGTTGGATGATTTGGGGAGAATACAAAGACCTCTCGAAGCTAAGGACAAGCAGTTCATGGATCTCTAGCTTTCTGCTGGGGTATGGCTGTGACAGCAGGATGTGGTCACGCTATCCAACAGTCCTTTGATCTAGCTCTGGGCTCGAACTTTCAGTAAACATGAATCGGGAGCTGGTCATTGTTTGCCCCTTCCAGGCTGTGGAAGAGAAGGCCGTTTTGGGAGGTCATCCATCAAATTCGAGACTCGAGAACAGTTATCACAAACAAGGTCAGTCAGAACAGTGCTTGTATCACAAACCAGACGTGAAGACGACCCGAGGCTGGCTCTGATCACCTTTGTCTTTGCCGTGAGCCTCACCTCACAGGTGGCATGAGATTTGACGGCTTTGGAATGGATGAAACCAATGAAATTGCAGGATCCTCTTCAAGACAGGTGCAATGTCTCTTTCATCAACAGCGTCAAGCGGTCATTCCTGGACAACATTTTTCGCAATCCAGTTGGTTATATAGGACTAGTTTGGACAATACTGAGATCGCCCATGGTCGATGCCCCCGAAAGCAGCCAAGTGTGCAAAGGATTCCTGATCTCGCCTGTGGGTAGGACTTGCGACTTGGAATTTTGCACTGATGGATCCTTTTTCAGTATGGCCCAAACGCATCCAAACGCCGCATCAATCAGCAACGTTGAGCGGTTCCCTGAGCACCCCTGACCGACTCTGATCAGGCGTCAACATGGCTGATGGAACAGGCGGGGTGCGAGTCCAATTGATTGTAGTTACTTCGATCGCGGATGTTCTCTCTCTTGGTTTCCCCTCATTCAACAATCCTTGGAAGGTTGTTCTTAGATTCAAACCGAACACGACGTTGTGCCTTTCACCATCGCCGGAGGGGTGGGGGAACGAGCGTCAAGTACCACGAGCGAGCCTTCCTGCCGAGTGGAGTCAGAACTCATCGAGCGCCAGGGCTGGAGGGTCCATATAGACACCTTGGGGTCTGTGCCATCTACTCTCAATCTACTATAGGCCAGTTTAAGTGGCATTTTTGATAGACCAAATCCACCAACTTTCTCAGGAGGAACAAGGGGATCTGCACCAGTCGACACCTTTCCATCACGCAGGATATTTCCAGGAGAAGCCAGTCTAGAGACTTGCTTGGAGATGTCCTCCATCAACTTTACACTCCATCTAGGTCACCCAGACCAAGACACGCTCTTCAACGGCTCTTCAGCCATCCTTCGAGTCGGCTCAATCAGTTCTCGGGTGTGGCCCTTTTCAGAGTCGGACTGCCTGGCTCGTGCTCCAGGTGGACACTGGCTTGCCGGACTGGCCTCTTGGGTTGTAAACGGCCGGAGACGGGCTGACGCGGGGGCTGACCGGGGGCTGATGGGAGTTTTGGCGTCATGAGAATGTGGAGGCAGCATCTCTGGAATGTCAGGAGGTTCTCCTGAGGCATCTTGAAGCAGGAAGGCAGACATCATGGAATGTGTGTGTGTAACCCTTGGAATCACAGGGATCCTTTCGGATTGTTTTTGCTTTTGTTTCTTCGTTTTGCAGCAGGGGAGCGGTGGGCATTCTTGAAGTCACCGCTCAACGAAGACACTTCAAGTTTGCTGTGATATGCAATCTGGACGCAGATTGCACGTACCTGCATTTTCCTTTTCCGAATGGCAAGAGGCTAAGCCAAGAACCTCGAAGACTTGAAGATTTGATGTTTCCTCTGAACTGCAGATGCGAGCGGAACGTCGTCAGCCTGTTCGTCCGTCGTTCGTTTTCTTCCTTTTGGGCCCTACTTCCTCTTGAAGACCTCCAGGATCCCGTGGTTCGTACATGTACTCTTAGGAAATGGAACCCTAGGCCGGCGTGTGGCACCGCTGTCAAGTCAGTACGCATATCCATAAGTGTGTCTCTCCCAGTGAGAGTCCGGGATGAGCCCGCAGAGTGCCTCCCGTGGACCCGTTGAACGGGGGTTTGTCGTTATCTCCCCTGCTCCCGAGATGTAAGTGCCCAGAGCGGGCGAAGGTGGCCTAGGCCGTACGTCCGATGATTTTTGTCTCATCTTTGGAATTCCAAGTTGGCTCATGCCTTTACGTGACCGCAGCGGTCAAAGCAGCCAGCCATTTCGGCAAGGCACAAGGTGACCACATTAGGTTCATTGGAACCTGTCGGACACTTAGGTGCACATACACCGTACACATTTCAACGAGGCAGGTCTTCCTAGGTTGTTGTAATGAGGTCTGGTTTCATCGGTTCCCGTCCCCTCCATTTGGTTCCCCTTTCACCTTTTCCCCTCACACACTTCTTTTCCTCTTTCTTTTCATGTCTTCCCTTGCTTCATGTCCGTTCATCTCACTCCTTTCGTTCTTTTGCGCGTACAATGGTCCGGGCCTTAGTGTGTACGCGCACATCTACTTTCAACTCACGTGTTAGGTCGCCCAGGTCTCGACAATGAGGTGGGTTCATCGGTTGTCCCTGTGCACTTGGTTTCCCTTTCATCGCAACCACACACTTTTGTCCTGTCTGTCTTCCTTTTCATGTCTTCATCCTTTTGTCCTTGCTGCGCGCACATTTGCACATTCGTCCTAGCCTTAATTTTGCCTCCCCTCGGGGAGGCGTGTGTGTGTAACCCTTGGAACCACAGGGATCGTTTCGGATTGTTTTTGCTTTTGTTTCTTCGTCTTGCAGCAGGGGAGCGGTGGGCATTCTTGAAGTCACCGCTCAACGAAGACACTTCAAGTTTGCTGTGATATGCAATCTGGACGCAGATTGCACGTACCTGCATTTTCCTTTTCCGAATGGCAAGAGGCTAAGCCAAGAACCTCGAAGACTTGAAGAATTGATGTTTCCTTTGAACTGCAGATGCGAGCGGAACGTCGTCAGCCTGTTCGTCCGTCGTTCGTTTTCTTCCTTTTGGGCCGTACTTCCTCTTGAAGACCTCCCAGATCCCGTGGTTCGTACATGTTCTCTTAGGAAATGGAACTCCAGGCCGGCGTGTGGCACCGCTGTCAAGTCAGTACGCATATCCATAAGTGTGTGTGTGTGTGTGTGTTTCTTTTGAAAGGCCTCCCAACACTTTTCTGCTTCAAGACAGGTCCAGGTGAACCTTGATATGCAGAGGTGCATGTGGTTCTTGGCGAAGGCAGCGGAGTTTCCCATGGCTTGATTACACGTTTGATGAATGAAAGGCTAGACACTTGATCAACATTAGTTTACCCGGACGCATTTCGGTTCCCAACTCCTGCTTTCCAAGTCTATGAGTGCTGTTAGAGTGTTCGAGCTTGGATTACGTGGCATGTGCCTGCCCTGGTCAAACGAGATCTCCCCAATCCGGTATCTTGATCAACTGCACAGTGGGAAAACCTGGAGTTGTGACACTCACTCACATTCCATGGTGATACATGGTCCCGACAGGAAGACGACTTTCCTTTACGAACAGGGGGTGAACTCCACTTCCATGTCAGCAAGTCGGAGTGTACTCTCATCAGCCAATGAGGTACAGCAGGATCGAAAACCACGAGGATCCAACGGTGCTGCTGCCCAGCCGATGTGCAATATCACTCGATAGACATATACATATATGAGTTTACCAACCAGTTATATGCATTGATTTTGATAATAACAATGTCAGACACAAGAAGGAAGTATATGAAGTCATTGCACAATCTGAATTGGATTTCACTGATGACAGCGACCAAACCCAGGCGTGTGGTTTGGAATCGTTGAATTCACCGCTCAAATCCGAAGAAAAACATATAGACGACTCCTTTTCACTAGGTTCGACTCCACCAGGTTCGACTCCACCAGCAGAGGTTGATCCAATCGAAGATGTTTCCGATCTCTTCAAGAAATGGAAGAAGAGGTCTTCGGCTTCCGATGCGAACCCGCTTCCGCCGAAACGGGGCCGTCCCGTCCCGCACCCGCCGCGCGCACTGGACCGTCGCAGGTGCGACTGGTTCAATTTTACTATGGCTCCTTGGCGAACACCATCTACACCTTGGCACAGACAGTGCTGGCTGGTGTGACCCGGTCCGCATGGATGGATAAAAACCGGTCTGGGCTTGGGGTCTGGCGCCATAGGCCATACAGATTCTTGGCACTGGATTGTCCCAAACAGGGAAAATAGACACTTTCGAACGCATACCCTACATCCCAATGTATGCCTATGGCAGGTCCCTGTTGATTTTTTCTTTTGCGTCTGTGCGAGATATTGGTTTTCCATGATGATGATTGTACTGGATGGTCCCTCCATGATAAAAACCACAGTGGTCCCTTAAACTACGAAGCCTTCATCAACACGTGTGTGAACAGGGCAACTGCGAGTAGTTTCTTGTGTGGCATGGAACTCACCATTTCGGGAGTTCTTCTATCGGGACCGGTGAAACGTGCAAGACGCGTACTGCACGAACATGTTCAAACATGTAATGTATAATATAAACATATAACATATATATATATAAGGATTGTACAGATGGGAAGTCCCACCATTTCCCGTTTTCTTTCTCGCAGCCATTTCACGTTTCTTTTTAAGTCTCCCTTTTTTGGCCTTTGGGACGTGTCACGGTTCAATCAATCCCTGTGAGCCCACAGCTTCTTGTTTTGGTGCTTCCCAACCTCCACCCCGCAAGCCTTGTGGGTTAAACAGTGGATTAGTAGAGTAGGGCACACCTATAAGTAGATAGAAACGGTTTCCAATACATGTTTAGTGGGGATCTACTTTTTTATCTATTTGGGGACCACTAAAGGTGTGCCCATGTCAGAGATTCATCCGCAATCGGGACACATCGGTTCTACCGAGGTCAACTGGCATGAAGTGATGGAGCCCCTCTTGCAGGTGGGCTGGTTCCCTGCAAGCTTGTGCCATCCTCAGGTCTGCGAAGCCTAAACCCCCGAGCTCGAGCTGGGTGGAAGAAAAAGGTAAGTGAAGATGGGAGGCCGTCCAGTTCGTGTGTCATGTCTTGCATTGTCTTTCTCACAGAAACAGACTTCACGCCACGTCACTTGCTCAGAAACAAGCACAGCCTGGGAGAACAGGCCAGATGGCCGATCTTCCAACCTTTGCCACCTTTGCCGCTGAGAACATGTTTTCTCGTGCTGAGGCAGCTACTTTATATCTCCTTCACCCTACTGGCCGTTCTCAATGTGATTACAGGCCACGCGAAAACGCGCCGCACGGTTCCGCCGAAAACCATGTTACGGTGGCGTGTGGGTTGCAGAATTTCCGTTGACTGCAGTTTGCAATGCAGACACCGCCCCTTGGTTGGGTGACAGAATTGAAGAGAAAGTTCAGAAAGCTGAGCAGCTAGGTGATGTTTGGGTGGATGTGAACGATGCAGACACACATAGTTTTTGGAGCCCATTTACCAGTCAACCGATTCCCGGTGAAGCACTAGGTTGCTTTGCATGAAGCACTTGTGGTGAAGCACTTGGATCATAGCCCGTTCGACAGAGTCCGCCCCTTTGAGTACTTGGTCCAATATCTTTCCGCTGGACTCATGGTTGCATCACAAATCAATGCAGAGCCAATTGAAAGTTCAGGAAACCCTCCTGCTGAGGACCACATGGATCGATGAACTGGCTCGGATCGATGGGTCGGTCGTAGGGGTTCCTTTTCACATCTGCAGGTTGTGTGGTGTCACAGGGACCCACGGTCTTCTGCCTTCGTTTTCGACAGACGCCGCCGAACGTCAGGGGTCTTCGTGGACAATGCCTTCCGCTCCGCCGACAAGCAGCAGACCGACATCATCCAAAAGGCCCCCGGCTTCGTCTCAGAGTGTTTGGATCAGTTGAGCCATAGAGTCTTAGAGCCTTCCAGAAACATTAAACAGCAAAAAGACAAACATCATTTCTTTCATCATCCGACCATAATCTGACCAATGTTTTTGGATCTGAGGCGGTCCCGACCTTGGACCTATATCTGATAGTACCGTAGCAGCAGGTTCGGGATGCTTCTGCTGACACAATTCTCTTTGCCCGTAAAACACTATTCCACTGGGGTCAAACAGTGGATACGACTGGACCGGACTGGACCTGGATACGTTGGCTTTTTCCGGTTTTGGAGGTCCTGAGTCTGTGGACGGGGTGGGATGATGCGAACCATGCGCCGCGCGAACCATCGGTGGTGCCAGGAAGTCGACAAGAAGGAAGAGTTCCCTGGGCTGTCGCATGGGAGAATGGGCTCAGCCATAGATTTTTTTTCTCCGGGCTTTGCTGGTTCTCAAGTGGACACGTGCTCCAATGTTGTCCAATCCCACCTTGGAGCGCCCAGGGACATGAGCCCCCTCACCCACAGCGAGGTGCTTTTTTGGCGCTTGTTTTTGCTCACGGCCGTGTTAGAGACCCTATGGCCAAATGCACATTTTGCCTTTTACTATTTTTGTTTTTCGTGCCTGCTAACATGTTATCATCCACATCACAACATTATCATCGACGTCACAACATCATCGATATCGCAACATTGGCATCGATTTTACAACATTGTCATCGATTGGTCGTGTGATTTTTCAAGTGGGGTGGGGGGGAAAGCGGGGTGGGTGCAAGTCGATTTCACCACATGGTCATCGACATCGCAATATCGCTTGGAAGAGTATGTCTGGTCGTTTGTGTTCAGAATGAATGCGGGGACTTGTGCTGCTGCAGAAGCTGGGAAATATGGCCAAAAGAGCCAACAGAGGCATTTCGCACGTTGAAGAAGCTGGCTTCGCTGGCTGCTCTTCAAGACATCGACACAACGACCCTGTTTTTCTCTCGTTTTTTTGGGGGGCTGGGGGCTGTGCTTTGACTGTCGTAATTACAAGCACAAAACGACTAGGCAGTTACCAACCCATGTCAAAAAACAGGGTATTTGCTACACGCTGTCTGTTGTCCCAGAGTGACAACCCTTCCGGTGTTTTGTCTCTTGGGGGCATCCTCAATGTTGCCAATTGCTCAGGGTCGCTCTTGCGGCCGTTACCTTGTCTTTCCCCCCCCCTGACTTGCTGACACCCGAGGTGCTTGTCCTTAGTCAGGGGCTTCTTCAATGCAGTGGACATCCGTCAAGAAGGGCTGATTCGTCTGGAAGATCTCGTGTGGTTTTTAGACGATGCCACTTGGCCTTCGTCTCCGGTGTCCACGGGTCTGGGGACCGTACACAGCGAACGACTGTCCAGTCTGTGCCTCTGTAGTCATATCCTCCCACTCACTCTTGATGTGGAACATGCCTTGATTCCCTCCCCCCAAATCAAAGACAGAGAATGGTTTCGGAGATTTTGCGCCTTGCATGTTCAGTTGGAGTGTGTGATCGTCTTTGCAAGTGTCAATGTCTGGAACTTCAATGAATTCCATGCATATCATATTGACATCCTTCTTCTGCTTTCAATGAATTTCGGCATATATAAGTCTTTCATCCTTTACATTCTTCATATGCATTTCATGAATGACCCTGATTTATTTTGGTTCACATTCTTCGCTGCTCGATGTGCACCATGCTCAAGCTGTGGCCGGCGCAAAGTCAAGTGGACTCGTCCAGTTGATCTTTTTTAGACTCGATGAACAACGTGGGATCAACTGGGCTGAGAGCCAAAGTCAGCAGATGAATAAGCACCCATCTCCAAAACTTGTACGGCCCATATGTATCCACATGTATACATAAGCTTGCGTGAGGGCAGCTCCATGATGCACGACATATGGCACAAACCTTCTTTTTTTGTCGCTTCTTTCGAGTGGTTCGCGATGACAGCGGAAATGCCTCTCCAGATGTGCAGGGTGCCTGTGCTCTTGAGATAGGACCGGACCATGTCTGAAGCCAAAGATCCAGAGGTAGCTCAAGATGCAGAGGTGGGTCAAGATGCAGAAGTAGCCCAAGATGCAGAAGTAGCCCAAGATGCAGAAGCAGCTCAAGATGCAGAAGTAGCCCAAGATGCAGAAGTAGACCAAGATGCAGAGGCGTGTCAAGATGCAAAGGTGGGCCAAGATGCAGAGGTCGCCCAAGATGCAAAGGTGGGCCAAGATGCAGAAGTAGCCCAAGATGCAGAGGTATCTCAAGGTGCAAAGGTGGGCCAAGATGCAGAAGTAGCCCAAGATGCAACGGTGGGCCAAGATGCAGAGGTTGCTGAAGATGCAGAGGTGGGCGAAGATGCAGAGGTAGAGGACGAGTCATTGATGAGCAAGCTGTCTGAAGCTATGCGGGACACCGATGATGAACCCAAAGAACCTGCAGCTCCGATGCCCGACGCACCACCAATGGTCTCAGCGGTGAAGCCGGAGCCAGCAGAGGATGCTGAGACCGGTGCAGCTGAGGTGCCCCAGTGCGAACCGGAAAGTGCTCAACAAGAAGAGGTACAAGAGGAACAGGAACCCGAGGAAGATCTCTTGGATGACATTGTACCATATGTCACTTATGACGAAAAGGGCAACTTCAGCAAGGAGGGCCGATGGGTCCAGCCCAAACGCAGCCAGTTTCCATGCATCTTTTGCCCTCTTCGTGTACGTGTGCGCCTGTCTCCCGAGGGGTCGTCCGAGGTGAACCCATGGAAGCTCCCGGTGGACCGGATGGCGTCCATGCTGCGGACCACTCTGGGCCTAACGGATCTGGTCCGCTTCGATGACTGCCGGGACCGCATCGATGCCGCCGCCAACGCACGGGAAGTCATCGTGGCCTTGAATGGAGACCTGCCGGAGGGGCTGGGGGTGGGCGATGTGAAAGAGGTGGGTGAGGTGAAAAGGTCAACGACAACGACCAACCAAAGTCCAAGTTGTAGTTGACTTCCTTAAGCATCTCAAGGTTTCGATCACCAAGTGTAGAAACCTCACATCTATTCTACAAGTGTCCTGTTTGGGTCATGATCAATCTTCTTGGTGCGGCTGGAGTTCAGCCTTGTTGATGGGCTGCTGGGGCCACCCGAATGTGTTGTGCACTCTTTTGGGCTGCAGGTGGAGGAGGCGGGGAAGATCACCTTGTTCCTGACCATCATCGATACCGTTGAGACGTCCATTGACACGGAGCCTGAACGGATCGCTTCATTGGAAGCACGACTGAAGGAAGCGGGGCCCTGTGATGCTCTGGTTCTCGAACTGCCGCAGATTTGGATCATTTCAGATCCCGACTTCCGAGCCAAGAGCGCCAGCATTGGCTTGTACCCCGGCAGCTTCTGGATGGGCTTCCTCAAGTCTTGGGGCGCCGTCCAGGTGGCCGAAGTCTTCTTCCGGAAAGCGGGCGACACGGGACAAGAGCCGATGGTCTCAGTGGCCGTCCAGTTCCGTGAGAGGGAGAACTTGAAGATGTGCTTCACCTTCCTCTATGATCGATACCTGGTCCATCCCAAGCAGAAGAATGCACTTCGACCTCCTTGGTGCAGACTGGTCGTTTTCGAGGATTTCAAGGCTTCGTGGGGGCCTGAAGTGGTTGGTTTTCCTTTTCAACTTTTCAACCACTTCTCTTTTTGTAGCGAGTCATCCTTTTGATATAGGAGGAACACACACACACACTCACATGTACACCTTAGCAGCTAATCAGCTTGCTATATAATGCTTTGAATCACACGATCCCATGCGATCCCTCGTGAGCCGTTTACGGCGAAGTCAACGTCGAACCTTGGGAGGCGAGAACCTTGGGACGGCCGCGCCCGCCTCAGCGGCCCAAAGCTGCCAAGGCCTCGCTTCAGATTAACCGGCCCCTGACCGCGGCCAAGGCGAAGGCGAAGATCCTTCCGAAGGCCATGCCGGTGGTTCCCAAGGCACCAATGTCCAAGGCCAAGGCCAAGGGTCCGGAGAAGGAGAATGTCCAAGCGGAGCTGACTCCAGCTGAGGCCATGGCAGGACTTTCAGGTCGACAACTCGAGGCCTTTCAGATGGTGATGAGTCGGATGGAAAGGTTAGAGCGGGAAAATAAAGAGCTCATGCAGGTCCTCATCCAGATGCAAGCCTTGCTGCAGCAATCTCAACAGCGCAATGAGCAGCTCGCAGGCATTGCAAGGGCTGACCCTTCCAATGCAGCAGCCAGAGTTGCCTTGCAAGCACAGCAGCAAGCGATGGCCTCGCAAGCGACCATGCCTGCAGTAGTACCTCCCCCTCCTCTTCCGACGGCAGCTTCAGTGCCCCCACCTGCGAGTGAAGCAGAGAAGCGCAAGGCCTCAGCCGAGCCGGAAGCAGAGAACAACGCACCTTGGAAAGCTCAACGGCGGCGCCAGCGGCGCAGAGGGGAAGGCGATGGTCCAGGAGAAACTGAGGAGGGTGATGGCGCAGGGGGAGGCCTAGCCGCCTATCATAACGCCCTGCTGGGTGTTTGACAGACAGAGTGCTTAGGAGAAAACTACTGTGATGCCGATGCTCATTTGGGTCGGATTTGGGTCAGTTTGATATATATATATAAACATATAGTGCACATACATATATAATCATATTATAAACAATTAAACTGAACACACTGGTCAGCACTCGGAACTTCAAGCCCATAATGGCACGGTGCAGATGAGCAGCTTAGGCGTGGGCAGGGATTGTTGTCCCTGTGCAAAAATGCTTGTTGGCCTCCCAATTCACGATGCTGAGTATGTTTCATGCATGAGCAACCCCACTCTTATTGTTTCGGCTCTTCCCTCCAAGTGCTTATGACCTCAACCGTTAGTGGATCTAAAAACTCTGAGTCCGACACCATCTGGAATCAGGCTGCAGTCTGGCGTGAGGATATTCTTGTGCCAAACATAGAGAGGTAGGAAGCGAGGCTCGGGCTTTCAGCGACAGGAACATGCCCAGAATCTCCACCAGTGGAGAGTCATTTCTTTCAACATGTTTTTCCCATCAAGCAAGTGAATCCCTGACACCCACCAAAAATCAGTCCAAGCCTGAATCCCCCACGAGGTACTAAACAAAATCCATACATCAGGTCATACATCAGCACAGTCAGGGAAAAGCTGAAAAGCCCTTTCCCAGCTTCTTTGGCTTCAATCACTTCACCTTTCACATCATCCCAAAACAGAACAGACCAGGCCACTTCCCCCCAAACCGCATCACGGCCACCACCCACTGCCACCCCCTGAGGCCACCATGGACGCCTTCTTCCGTGTGCTGGGCTTTGACTGCTACGACAAGCATCGCTTCACCGAGCTGCTGGACGGGTTCGGCCCGTTCTGGGGTTACCTTGGGAGAAGGCTTCCTACATGGACATGGTTTGTTCTGGTACATGGACGTTTTGATAGGAAACTGGTTCTAGAAACCCAGAAATGGGTGGATTGCTTCTGTTTGGATGAAATGGGTCACCAGTCAAATTAGTTGGGACATGCTGGTACATGGACGTTTTGAAGGGATTCTTCCTCACCTCTTGACCATCACGTGCGGCATGAAACCGGTGAAGGCAGGAGCAACAGGTGTGTCTCTCAGCTTGAAGAGCTATGAAGAGTGAAAAGGGTAGAAAAAGGTTGAAGTGGTTTCGGGAGTCCAAACTTTAACCCAAAAAGGTTTTCGAGGTGGTTTCATGACTCTTCATGACTCTTAAAAGGTTTAGGTGTTTATGAAGAGTTTCAAGACTCTGTTTCCACACAGCTTGGTCAATGAAGAGTCGTGCCGTCTCTCATCTTGGCCCGGTTTTTGCGAACAAATCGAGCAGCGAGCAGATCTATTTTGGTTTCTCGGCTTTCTCGGGGTCCGTCCTCTCTCTCTCTCTCTCGTCTTTTTTTTAAGGCTTTTTTCAGGCTTTTTGCCCGTGTTCGGCTGGCTTGAGGGACTTCGCTGACTTCTTTGGGTGTTTCGCAGAGGTGAGCAAGAGATTCTCCTTCAACTGCCTTTGACATTCAGGTGAAACTTTCTATATACCAAGAGAAGCTTCTCCTGCCAAAAGCTTCGTTCTTTGCTAAGCTTGGTGGACAAAAGCTGGGATTGTGAGTTCCCCACCTTTCTATTGACATCCACCAACAAGATTGGACTTCGGAATCTCTTGGTTTGCTCCTCCAGCAGTGGTGAGAGTCCCAATGGTGTTTTATTTTTTTGAAGCTTTAATAAGACCAACAACGAGACGTGTGCTTCCCGATTGCTCTTGGATGACACAGAAAACCGCAAACCTGGTTCAGACTCTTCTGTTTTGTGCCATCTTCGGTCATTTTTGGCAACAAGTCATGGTCACAACACTGCTGTGCCTACAATCAACTAAAGTCAACTGCACAATATTTTTCCCTTTCTGATATCAAGACGCAGCAATTGACTTAGGTACAGATGGGGTTGTACCCATCATCCCCATCCCCATCCCCATCCCCATCCCCATCCCATCCCATCCCATCCCATCCCATCCCATCCCATCCCATCCCATCCCATCCCATCCCATCCCATCCCATCCCATCCCATCCCGTTTGTGTGAGTGCATACTGGAATAGGGTACTTCACCAAGCAGCTCTCATTGATTTTGCCTTGCCGCACCTTGCCGCAACCATCCTGGTCAAACAGGGGGCTCTAAAGGGTCTCCCACAAGCTCAGCACGCGACACAGCCGTGACCTTGGCACCCACACAGGACCTGGATGGCACCGGCACAGTGAGCCCGGACCCCACAGCTATTTGCAAGGTTCGTCCGCATGGTCATTGATGCGTGGTGCCGTAAAGCAATCAGGGAAGATGGCCACATGCCCAAAAGATATGTTGTTTTCATCAAACGGTTATTTTTAGCATGAAGGGCCAAGACTTGTTTCTGTCCATGCAAGAAGCATATGAGATCCTGAAAGCATCGGATGTATAAAAGCAATCCCGAGAATCTGCGGGAGAGACGTCCGGTCGGTCTTGCGGCGACAGACACTGAGTGACACCACCCAGCCGGTCGACCTCCGTCGTCTTCGGATCGACCGAGGCTTTGAGGAGTTTTTGGAGGGATGCATGAGGTACAGGCCGCGGAGACCAAGGGCCGCGGAGAGGAATCCGAGAGGGAGACAAGGTTAGTCAGGCGTGTTCTTTCGTTCTTTCTGAATTGGACAGGGAGGCATTTTGGGAGGACAGGGTTTTGGGAGATGACTAGTTGGACAGTGTTATCTTTTGTGTTTTGTTTTGCTCTGAGCTCAAACTGGGCGGTGCGTGCATGACGGCTCAGCAGAAAGAGGCGAATAAGATCATGAATCGGGAACGCCCTGTTGTTAGAAGATATAAACCTATTTATTTGTAATAGGCAACAAAACAAAGTTTGGTGATTGGTTTTGGCCATGGGTGCACCACTGTCTTTTTTTGAATAATCATATCCATTGAACATGCAGCTAGATTTAGCAATGCAACCATGCCACAACAGTGAATGTGAAAACCAGATCTGGAAGTTCCATTCAAGTTCAGGCTTCTTGGCTTCTCAATTCGGGAAGTGTCTCGCCCCTGACACATCGTTCTTGGGATGTGTTTTCTCGCCTCCTTCGTTGACCGCCAGGGGAGTGGCACAGGGGGTGGACATGCACCTGGTGATCCGCTGGATCCCCAGTGCTGTTGGTTTTTTGCTTCATCCTCCCATAACATTTTAAGTGCTTCGGCACTTGATGCAGCTAAGTCTAGTCGCAGTCCAGACTTATGTATAATCTCATATTAATATATATATATGTACGACACAGATAGAGTTATATATACACATAATGCTCGCTGTGTATTTATGTATATATATTACACAATAGATAACCTCAAGCATGGAAGCCGGTGGTGGCTTCGTGTAAAACTCACTTTTCATTGGCTCCCAGAGTGTCCTTCGACTCTGACGAACGCACATGAGGTGATGTGTCTCGTGCCTTGTCAAACAGATCTTTCGTCGTCGCGTGCGGCCGTTCAACCCGACGGTTCACCTGGGGTGTCAAGGTTTGTTCCGCACCGATTCGAACGTGAGGGTGTGCACCTGATCCACAAATGTTGGAGTGAGTCAGTTCTCCTTGGCGAAGGATGTTGGTTTCGCCACTGAATCGATCTTGAGAAAGCTGATGGCTCCGAATCGATTGGGAGTCCAGGTATTTCTTGGGAAAAGAAAGCAATTTTGGATTCAAGAGTGGTTTTACTTGGCCAAGAGGTACTCCTTGGGTCACATTACAAGGTCACATGGTCACATGGTGGATGTACTCTTTTTTGTACTCCGATGTGATCCTTTTGCAAGGCACTTCCTCAAATTGCTGTTGTGCCAAATTTCTTTTCTCTGAGGCACTCTGAAGCAGCGGCACCTTTAGAGAAGAAGAATTCCCCTTGATGACGAACGGACAACCTAAGCTGATGTTCTTTGATCTTGAAGGCACCTTCTCTTGATCGTTTTGCCATTCCCATCGAGCAGAGTCATGGCGAACGACATCCGAAAGTCATTTTTTGTCTTCATGTGTTGCCACATGCATTGCCAACTTGCTACCCACCTGATATGGCGCGGACTGGACGCCCGTGCGGTGGACGGTCCCCTTTGGATGAGACGTGGGACATGCACGGTTCCGCGTCCAAGGCCTTCAGAAATCTGTGGGAGTGCTTCAGGAGTACGTGCGGAACTGGCTCCTTTGTGCGGAACAGAGCTGAGACCTGGGACTGGGACGGTGCTTCTCGGTTTCTTCCCGTTGCTCCACCTATGTTAGGCCGGCTGTGACCACCATGAGTCGTTGGTTTCGTGGAGCTCCTCATCGTGGAGCTCCTCCACGGAACTGATTGCACAGCCTCAATCCATCCATCCACGGTTTGTGTCTGATCCACACGCGGAGGGAAGCTGGCAAGGTGGGACTGATCAGAATGACACCATCGAAGGTTTGGAACTCTCGTCATGGGCCACGAGAGATTCAAGAACTAAGATTTCTCGGCAGGAAGAAGGTTGCATTGTAATTTTAATGTAGACTCTTGATTCTTACCCCCCCCAAATGAAGAGGATTTTCAATTCAAATGGGGTGGGGTATGTACCTCAAGAGTCTACATCAAGCGTCGTATTTTGGAGATGTGACCTTGGACTTCGGCAGGGCGACAGTTTTTGAATCAATGTGCTGTTGACTCTGGAGGGCAGAGTCCAGAAACTGGGGATTGGGAGACTCCCCATCTGCGCACCCATTCCATTTCTTCCAAGGGTCGGACAGAACCAGTATATCGGTCGCCATGAAAGGAACGATAATATGTGTGAGATGTGTGAGGAACAAGGCAACCCAAATGAGCCCAAATGCTCATTCTCAAACATTTGGGTCTTTTTTTGGCATTCAGACCTCGGACTTAAACAAGGCCCTGTCTATGCTCAATTGAAATCTTAAACATTTGCGACCAGTCAGTGACCGATTGACCGGTTGGTCTCTGAAGCGAAGGTTGTGTTCGGCGGATGAGTCTCTCAGTTTTAGGGATTTGGACTTTCCAACCGAGGGATTTGGAGCTACTAGTAGCTTCTTGTTCCTAGTAGTAAATTAGCTACTAATAGCAATGCTCTTTTTACTGGTAGCGATGCTACTAGTAACTTCTTGTTCCTATGCTGTGAGCCAGCCTTGCCAATCCATGGCAGTCCCAGACGAAACCTTCGATGTATACTACATATGAGTCAACTACTTGCAGCGGCTCCATTCTTCTGAGGTACAAGGGCCGCCTTCTCTGTTGGAAGAGATTCCAAAGTCACCCCAGAACCGAGTGACGCTCTGACGCGCAGCTGTGTGTCGCTGGGCTGCAACCAAGATTCGAGCTCGTCCCGGAGGGCATGATCGACGACGACGGTGGATCGCAACCCAAATAGAAACATCCGCTGAGGCCTCCTCATTTTGGTTGGCACACCCACATCGCTTCAGAATCAGACCCAGAGCGTGTGACACTTCATTCAATATCCTTCAACAAATGTTTACACCCTGTGAAACTTGCATGGATTGCCTCGATGCTGTTCCATCGACAGCAGCAACTTGCATCGTCCTAGGAGCGCGACGAGTTGCTGCTGGCAGGGGCCAGTTGAGGTGTCTACAGCCAGAAACAGAAGTGGATTGCAGGATAGCCAAGAGGACACCCATCTACCGTGGTGTTGATTTGCAACATCCACTTCTATGAAGGACACTTTATCTGAGAAAGCGAGTTGTTGATTGGTTTGATCGTTGCCGCTCTCGGAGAGAGTTGGCACCAGTAATGCAAAACTCGGAAGCGTGGCTGAAATGATGAGATGGTGGTGGCTCTTGAAACTTGACTCTTGAGCTCGCGGCTTTGGTTTTTCATTGCTGCTCCATCCCTTCTTGCCTTAGAACTTAGAAGAATTTGCCAACTTTGGTTGTAACAGGTTGATTTTGAACCACAGCTGATGGAGAGCCCTTCATTTCAGTGCCACAAAAAGGTTCTCATCGCTCATCGGCCACTGCGACTCCCCAAGGGAGCAGGCCAGGCCACCCGAGGGCCGAGGCTTGGGGATGTCTCGACTGATTCCTCGCCAGCAAAGGCCTTGGGCGCCACAGCTTGGCCTTCTTTTGGAGAGACATCTCCACAATTCGTCTCAAACTAGCTTCTTGGGCTTCTGCTCGTGCCCCATGCGAATGGGACCGACTCTTGGCGTTCTTTTGGACTAGCTGGGCGATCTTGGGGTAGCCAATGTAGCTCTCCAAAGGCGTGCACAAATATGCGGGGCTTCCAACTCTTCCCGAAGATGGAAGGCAGTTGCTAGATGAAATTTAAAACGCTTCGACTGAGCAGCCTGAGCCGCTTGTGACCTCTTGATCTTCAATACGGGCTGAAAAGGATGGGCCTTCCGTGTGTGGCGACTTCCGTGGCCATCGTCCCGCGGAACCCATGTCATGCCATTTCATGCCATAAAGAGAATAAAGAGTCATGAAAACAGAAGGCGGCCACACTCACGTTTTGTGCAACAAGTCTTAGTTTGGACATCCACTGACGCATCCCAAGTACACCCGTGGACCGGGTGGTCGGAGCTCTTCTCCGTAGCGGCTGAAGGCCTTGAAAGCTCGGATCGGATGAGGCGAGACACGGGGAGGACATGCATGCTAGAGGCTGAGAGGCTGATAGAAGCTGATAGAGGCTGATAGGGGCTTCTTTCAATAGATGGCAATGTTCACAATCTATTTTCCACACACCCAAAACGACACAAGGCGACAAGTACGACACAGACTCTTGTTTTGAGGAGGAACAGCTGGTGTTTCTGTGGGCCGTTCACAAACCCTGATATTTCTCCCTGTAGGTGAGACCCATCTTCCCCTCCGGCCGCTCCAAAAATGCCCATCCACCGGACGATGTCATCCACCGGGACCAGCGTGGCTCTGCCAGGCCCTACAGCTCTGCCCGCAGCCGGGTGGCCCAGGCGGTCGGGAGTCGAAATACGGCGCGTCCGCACGAGGTCGACGCCACGTGCTGGTCCACACGAGGAGACGCAGTGTTTGGGCGCACGACAGCCGTGTGAACGAATGCACACTGAGGCCGCTCTCCCCAAGCAACCTGGCAATATTCCCAGGCGTGCAACCTGGGAGCAGTTTCCACACGACGGAATCTACAGATCCGCAAACGGTATCGAACGTTGTTTTCCAATGACACTGCCTGGCAAAAGGAAGTGTTTTTTTTGGGGGGCATGATTTGGGAAGTCTTGATGGAAGTTCAGGGATAAAAATCACTGAAAGGACATGTTGGAGCACCTTCAAGGCAACAGAGGTAACACAGGTCTTTCATGTTCTTGCATACAGCTTACACCCTGTATATATATATATATATGTATATATATATATATTTGTTTATTTGCCACCATCCCCCACTCTAGTTCGATGGATTCCTTCTCTATGAATCGCAGCATGATGCCTTTCGCGCAGCACGCACGCGATGCGTTCTCCGCCTTGGCGCTTCGCGGGAACCCGCGGGAACCGCACAAGCAGGACTTTCGACCCAAGCTGCCAACGCTCTTCTGCATGGAAGGCTTCCAGCTTGGAATCCCGGAGACCGTGACCTTTGCTGGGTGATGGTTTGGAGAGAGCAAAAGACCTGAAGGTGAAAGTCCAAGAAAAAGAGGAGGGAGAGCCAACTTGGTTTCGAAGACAACACCACAACAGCCCCGACCATTTTCGTCCTTTGCCCCGACCATGTGATGACTTCCCTGTCTTGCAGTCTCACCGTCTACTGCGCGTGTCCGAAAGCATCGCGGGGTCCGATGCTGCCGCCCCGGGGAACCTCTGAGGACCAAGCGCTTCAACGTGACCTTCCGAGCGAGGTGGGTGATGTGTCGAGCCAGGTGGTTTTTCGACCCCCAGTGGATGTTCTGGACATGCCCGAGCCTCCACACCCGGGAAGAGACCCACATGGAACCTGAAAACCACGGGGGTGTAGAGGAAAACAAGAGTCTTCCCAAAGGTCCATTTTCAAGCTCCATGTTAGTTTTCGGGAGTGTAAGCAGCCCGTTGGAACGGCTGCTGTGTGTGTGTGCTCTTTCGAGACGGGCTCCTTCGCTGGACGAGCTGGCAAGCATCGTGAAGTCCGGCCGTGAATCCCAATGGAAGTCGAGGAAAGATACACTGGTAGCATCCTTGCTCCTAGTAGCGATGCCCTTTGTTCCTAGTAGCTTCTTGTTCCTAGTAGTAATGCCAGGAGCTACTAGTAGCATCTAGTAGCATCCTTGCTCCTAGTATATAGTGCTCGGAAAGGTCGATGAACATCGAAAGACGATGTATTGATTGCATTCGATGGATTTTCCTGTATTTTACACTGGCAATTCTGCCTTGCCGATCTTTGAACAACGGGTAAGAAAGGCTCCCTCCAACACTCACAGGTGGTGGGGGGAGATTTTCCCAGAAGGCAGGGTGTCTTGGGATGTAGGTCACTGGGTTGTTACCAAGCACATGGTGGCCTGGGCTCAGATCCGATTTTTCTGTGCCCTGGAAACGCGTCGGCACCATGAGCGTTTCTTCTAAGAACGAGAAGGCGAGGACTACGGGATGATGTGGATCAACTGGGCAGAGAGAGAGAGAGAGAGAGATAATTTTATTGGTGAAAGCCAGTGGACTTAAGATGACTTATATAACCGTCTCAACTCGTTTGGGATTCCAAAATTCACCCTGCAGGGTCGTTGTTCTTGTTCCTTTTTCGGAACTTGGGGTTGGGCCTCTGCATGCTCGGATCGTGTGGTAGATGTCCAGCGACACGTGTGGTGGTCATGATCGGCAGCCTCATTCCACATTTTTGTCCGACATGAATCAGTAGAGGATGAGGTTGGATTTTCTTTGTCATATCAAAAAGGTTGCCAGATCGCGATCACAAGTCGCGAATCTCCAGAGCTCCCGATCGGGATGTGTGGAGCTGGGAGACCTTCGAATCCGGCTTTTCTGGTTTGGGGGAGCTCCCGCTCTCCCCTCACAACACTCAAAGACACATCTCGGGCGTCTCCCTATTTTTCGACCCAGGCGGATGTCCAAGAGGCCTGGAGAAAGGGGGAATGGAGACAAGGGGGGTAGTGAAGCAGGTTACTACAGGAATCTGCTAGTGGGGTGGTCGGAAGGGACTGGCCGTATGAACCGCAGCTGTTTGTTGGGACTGGTTGGGATGAACATTCTCCTAAAGCTGCAAGCCCCTTGACTCTTGTTGACTTCACATCATGGGGGTTCTTCGAGGGTTGATGCCAGTAGTAGTAGTAGTAGTAGTAGTAGAGAGGACTTGGGTCTTTTGGATCAGCTTTGGTTTTGGTGTGAGATGCCAGGCCTATGATAGATTTTTCCACAAGCAGTTCTGGTGATTGAAGAGAACAGCCTGTCTTTACCAAAAAAAACAGCGCTTTCTGGGTGACCGGGTGCTGTTCAACTCTACCCCACCGGTCCGGATGTGCCGTTCCCCAGGTCTGGAAGCCGTTCCCTTGGAACTATTTGCCGAACAAGGCAAGAGCACTTGAAGCGCGGATTTCGGAGCACGTGCCCCTACTCCACTGACCAGGGTGACCTGAAAGTGACAGGTCAAAGATTCCAAGAATTCAGGGTGCCTGATTGCAAACCCCTCTGGAATGTTTCTTAGAATCCAACGTGTTTTCTTTGCTGTTGAACCTCCCACAGAACGCGTTTCCTTTTTCTACCTCCCACAGGTGGCTTTGGTCTGGGGTATTGCCGAAGTGTGCTTCATGGGTCCGCTCTTTGCGGCTCCTCGGCCACGGTGTCGAGCTGGTTCGCATCGCGAGCAGAGTATGCACGGGCCTGGCACGCTTCGAGTGACATTCAGATATTTTTTGGAGATGTAGAATCAGGCAGAAGCACTTTTTCAAAAGGCTCAACGGAGTTGCAGATCTGAGAAGAAGAGAAAGCGTGCTGCAGATCTAAGGTGCTCATTGGAGTGAATCTCACTTGGTACCGGGTTTGCATGTTCATTTGGCCTCCTGCTTGCAAGCAGTGCGAGAGGTGACCAGTGTGATGGTCATGATGTCGGTCACGGAACATTTGTTCATGTTTCTGTGGATGGGACACTTGATCTGGTCGATCCTTTTGGCCGGTGAGGTGTGGACAGAGATCTTCACATCAGACGTCTTGGGGGTTGGCAGTTCTCAAGTCTGCTCTTTGTCCTTCAGACATGAAAGGCTTCCACCCCCCCGCGGTGTTGCCTGGATCCAAAATCAATGACCGCCGGGGTGCCATGGACTGAGGCATCATCACTACTTTGCCGGGTGCAAGAAAGCCGTGCCTGAGCTCGTGCGCTCCGTCTCCAGGCCTTGGAGCAACGGAGGTCTCAGCAACGGAGGTCTTTGGGCATTGAAACACAGCATGGACTATCCTGAACTTCAGGTTGACCCTGCTGGTCCAGCAAGGCCTTTTTAGGAGGGCTCCCCTTTTTTTCATCCTCGAACAATGCTTTTTTCACCCTCAAGATTCCTTTTTTCCCCACCCTTTGGAACCTTCTTTTTCCACCCTCCCAAAACCTTGTATTTTCACCCTGCACCCTGTCATTTTCACCCTGTAGCATGTTTCTTTCACCCTTCACCTTGTTTTTTTCACCCTTCACACTTTCTTTTTCACCCTCGACCCTTTCCTTTCAACCCTCCGCCGGTGAAGCAGGTATCCATGGAACCTGCACAGAGAACGATGTCACCTCCGGTTTGTTTCACACCGCTTGTCCCTGCCCCTGCCAAACCCTTTGTTTTCACCTCAATAGCTTCTTGTTACTAGCCCTTCGGAACCCTCCGGAAACTGCGTAGAGACTGTCCGGAACGACGGGAACCGCCGGAAACTGACCCGGACGCCTCCGGAACGTGAGGCAGCACAGGATCCATCCATCCATCCTTCCATCCATCCATGCATTCAATCAATGAATCCATCCGTCAACGGAGACCCAACCACCCACCCACCCACCCACCCAGCCAGCCAGCCAGCCAGCCAGCCAGCCAACCAACCAACCAACCAACCAATCAACCAACCAACCAACCAACCAACCAACCAACCACGCGGCCAAGCCAGCAACCAACCAAGCAACCAACAAGCCAAGCAACCAAACCACATAACTCCGTGTTTTCCCCAAGTGCTGTAGGTACTAGAAATCCCGTGCGGGGGAGGCTTGGTTTGCATTGCAGGGGAAGCGCTGCGCCCTCCCCATTTACACAGCATCCGTCCATCCATGCATCCATCAACGGAGTGCCAATCAACCGACCAACCAACCAAGCAACAACGCGGCCAAGCCAACAAACCCACCAAGCAACCAACAAACCAAGCAACCAAAACCACCCATCCCGTAGCGCTGCGCCCTCCCCCGCACCCCCTCCCGCCATTATTTACACAGCACCGATCCATCCATCCATCCATCCATCCACCCACCCACCCATCCATCCATCCATCCATCCATCCATGCATCCACTGTATCACGCAAGCAATCAACAGCAAGCAAACCAAGCAACCAACACACCAAAAAGTTACATTTTTCTCCCTGTCCATGATCCATCCATCACTGTATGTGTTTTCTCCGAATCCAAGCAACCAACAAGCCCAGCAGGCCGTACCAACCAACACACCAACCAAAGGAAGTGGGATAAACTAGACGACGAGTGGCCCGAAAGCATTTTTCATCACGTAGGAAGTCAGAGTGCGAGTTATCTGTTAAGTGTGCAGTGTGAAGTGTTAAGTCGAGTGAGTTGAGGTAGTGTGTGGGTCTCTGTGTGTGTATTTATGTCCGTGTGTATATGAGTCTCTGTCTGTGTGTGTGTCCGAGTAAGTTGAGGCAGTGCGTGGGTCTCTGTGTGTGATGTGTGTGTGTGTGTGTATGAGTCCCTGTCTGTGTGTGTGTATGTCCATGTCTGCTGCTGGTGAAGGTCTTCACTGTACATATAGTGAACGAATTAGCGCGTGTCGCCTCCCAAACCCCCCACCGGCGGCCAAGCGGTGACAGCCCAGCTCATCGTCGTGAGCATTTGGGCTGCTGGTAAGGGGAGAAGCAGCGTGCACGCCTCCAGGAAATCTCACTGAAAAAAGCAAGTTGGAATGAAGCGTACTAAAGTTGTACTACAAAGTCGCCAGTTCTCATCTTCCAGCTCCACAGATTGCTCCGCGTACTAAAGTTCCACTACCAAATCGCCAGTTCTCATCTTCCAACTCCCCAGATACTCCGCGTACTCAAGTTGTACTACCATGTCGCCAGTTCTCATCTTCCAGCTCCCCGGATACTCCGCGTACTAAAGTTGTACTACCAAGTCATTGTACTACTAAGTCACCACTTCTCATCTTCCCACTCCCCAGATACTCCGCGTACTAAAGTTGTACTACCAAGTCGCCAGTTCTCATCTTCCAGCTCCCCAGCTACTCCGCGTACTACAAAGTCGCCAGTGCTCATCTTCCAGCTCCCCAGATACTCCGCGTACTCAAGTTGTACTACCAAGTCGCCAGTTCTCATCTTCCCACTCCCCAGCTACTCCGCGTACTAGAGTTGTACTACCAAGTCGCCAGTTCTCATCTTCCAGCTCCCCGGCTACTCCGCGTACTAAAGTTGTACTACAAAGTCGCCAGTTCTCAGCTTCCAGCTCCACAGATTGCTCCGCGTACTAAAGTTATACTAGAAACTCGCCAGTTCTCAGCTTCCAGCTCCACAGCTCTCCGCGTACTAAAGTTGTACTACAAAGTCGCCAGTTCTCAGCTTCCAGCTCAACAGATTGCTCCGCGTACTAAGTTGTACTACAAAGTCGCCAGTTCTCAGCTTCCAGCTCCCCAGCTACTCCGCGTACTGCAGTTGTACTACAAAGTCGCCAGTTCTCATCTTCCAGCTCCCCAGCTAGTCCGCGTACTAAAGTTGTACTACAAAGTCACCAGTTCTCATCTTTCAACTCGCCAGCTACTCCGCGTACTAAAGTTGTACTACAAAGTCGCCAGTTCTC